AAAAAAAAAAAAAAAAAAAAAAGAACGTCTGACCTAAAAAAATTCTAAGAAAATAACCCAAGATAAAGAGAGTAACATACGAGTAATACTAGATACCATTAAACACCCAGACATCTGGGTCACCAGAAGAAACTAATAAGGGCATTGACAATCTATTCCATGAAATCCTGGAAGAAAATTTTCCAAACCTAGAGAGGCATTCAAATATCCAGACCCAAGAAATACAAAGGATCCCACATAGAAACAACCTAAGATCTTCCTCAAGGCACATACATCATAGCCAAATTGACCAAAACCACAGACTGAGACAAGATACTAAATTTGCCAAGAGAAACATCAAGTTACTTTTTTTTTTTTTTGGAGAGGTTTTTGCTATAGGGTGTGCGCTCGCCAGAAAGTCAGAGAGAGACAGAGAGACAGAAAGCGAGAAATCATCCCCCAGTGGGAATGGCCATGCCACACTCCCTTCTCCTCCATTTTCCTCTCGGGATCTTGGACACGCATGCACACGCGCCCAGCGTGAGTTTAAGCCACCGGTCCGGGACCTGAACCACAGTCGACTATGTGGGAGTCTAGCGACATAGCCATTATGCTAACTGCTGGTACCTCAAGTTACTTTCAATAGATATCCTATCGGGCTAATGCCGGCCCCCCCATCAGGCTAATGTGAGCCAGCTCATCGGAAACAATGCAAGCAAGGAAACAAAGGAAAATATTTTCAAAGTATTAAGTGAAAAACAATTTCAACCAAAAAAACCATACCTACCAAGATTATCTTTCATATGGGAAAAAAAGACAAAAACATTCTCAGATAAACAAAACCTGAAAGAATTTACCAACACCAGACCAGCTCTCCAAGAAGTGCTGAAGGGAGTACTATACCAGGAAAACTAAAGCCAGATACACAGAAATAAGAATAAAAAAATTTTAAAAATGAGAATGACCAGCCTAATGTTAGGAACAAGTCCGGAGTTGTATGTTAACTGCCAGAGTTTAAATGGAAAGCTCATACCACAGCAACACTTCAAATTCAATAGAAGAGACACTACATGAGACTAAACTGGTGAAATAGAATTTTTTTACTTTTGACTAAAACATTACTGATTTATGCTTTGATTTCCAGACTTATGAATTTTTGTCTTCTCTTCAACTGTGATAGGTTCATCTACCTACTATTTGAACTGAATCCTAACCTTTTGCCTGGCTTTAAGTCTTAGGCAAATTTCTCTGAACATTTTTTGATTTTGATCTATTAAAACTAAAATGTTTTCTTGAAATTAAAAAATACATTCTAAAAATACCCATTTAATGACTGCAGTAAGCTGCATAACCCCAGCTAGGTGCTACTTTATGTTTGCTTTTTTTTTTTTAATAGAAGAATTATTTATTTATTTATTTATTTTTTTTTTTTTTTATTTCCTATAGGGTGCATATAAGAGAAAATAAGAAAGCAAGCTGCCAGGTCCAGGACTCCAACCCTCATCAACCATGTGGGAGTCCAGCACCCTAACCATTATGCCACCTGCCAGCTCCTAGAATGTTCACTTTACTCACTGAGCTTTATGCCTAAAGTAAGACATGTATTCATTAATATGTATATATCAGCTGTGCTTGCTATTGAAAGTTTTTAAATTAAGATCTT